CTGGCTGCTGGCTACACACGGTAGCCCATGGCAACCCACTGCCACAGGGGCTGCAGCCTACGCCGTCGCCGGCGACTCAGGGCAACCCAGCTCCAGGTTGAGCTGTTGTTCAGCATCTTAGCTGTGGAGGGCAGTGTCACTGGCCTTCATATGTGGGATCCGAACCAGGGCCCTCTGATGTCCCAAGCCAGCTCTTAACCATCGCGCCACTCGGCCGGCCCCAGACACTCTTTTAAGCACTTTATTATATATTTTTAACTCAGTTAATCCTCAAAACCATCTTATGACATCGGTGCTGTTGTTTTGTTTTGTTTGTTTGGTTTTTTTTTTTAGCTGAGCCATCCTGCCACCTGTTGGCAGCTCAGCGGCAACTCAGCTGAGGCCGGGCATCGAACTGCTGTTGCTCAGAGCTCGCACTCTTGCGTGAGCTCTTAACCAACTGAGCCACTCGGCCGGCCTATCGGTGCTCTTTTTATATCTGCATTTTACTGATGAGCCACAGAGAGATCAAGCAACTTGCCCCACCTCACACAGCTAATAAGCAGTAAAGCCAGGATCTGAACCCGGACAGTCTGGTTTTGGAGCCTAGGTTTTTAACCTGCCTCTCACAGAAGATTCTTTTAGCCCTGTACGCCACCATGAAGGAAATAAGATGAAAAACTATATATTAGAACAGGAAAAAGAAGAGAAAGAAAACCCCCCCTGCAAGAGTGCGTATGGTAGGAATGCGTAAAAGGTCACTAAGTGCTCAGTAACATTCTCCTAAGTCACCTAGACGTTCTTCATCTGCTTGGTCTTTAGCCTCAAACCTTTTGTGTTGAATTCTATCTTCTTAACGACTGTGAGAACTTGAAGCCTATTTAATTTCTCTCCCGCCATGAAAGCCTAGTGCAGGTCCCACCTCCTCCATAAAATCTCCATATCCATCCAGTCTATAGTCATCTGTACATTTACATTTGAGTACAGATTTATTGTCTGCAGAGTTCATTTGGCTCTGATTCACATTCTTAGGTAGCCTTATGTGCATTTATGTCTCATCTTACCAACCATACTGTAAACTTCCGAAGGGAAGAGAGTAAGACTTGTATTCCTCTTGCATCTTGCATCACCCATAGTTCCTAGCGCAGTGTATTGCAAATACCAGGCACTCAGTAAATATTTGTTGGTTGACTGATGGATTGAAAAAGGTCAGAGACTACATGAAATCTTGGTTAACCTCCACATCATTTAGTGAAGAACTATGCACTCAATGTGTACTTAATAAACATTAATAATGATTACAAAATCATTCAAAAAGTCTTTATGGGGTTTCTACAGTGTATAGAGAATGGTGCTGTGGGGATACACATGAAATAGAAGGCGCAGCTTTTCCCTGTGAAGAGCTCAGCTTAGTCTTCTCTTACTGCTTCAGTGTACACTCTTTCCTCTGAGTTCCTGCTGCATTTGAAAGCAGAACTAGTTATCATGCAGTTGTTTTCTCCCCCAATTTGTGAGCTCCTTGAAGGAAATGGATAGCACTGTGCTGAGAACATTACCGAATCACAGAATTGAAAGGGACTGTAGCACTTTCCCTATTGTCAGACTTCCCACCCAATGCAAGGATCCCTTCTGCAACAGCCCTGATCCTGCTCTTATTTGATTATATGCTCCCAGTCTCAGAAATTAACTGAAATAGGAAACACAGGATGAAGGGTAGGTTCAGGGGCTAGATAATGAGTTGAATTTTGACTACGTGCAGTTTAACGTGACTGTTAGGCAACCAGATGTAGACAAACAGCTGAAATTCAAGTCTCAATCTCAGGAGAGAGGTCAGGGCTGAAGATAAAGACTTGGGAGTCTTGGGCGTGGAAGTGGTAGTTGAAACACTAAGATTGAGTAAGACTGCCAAGGACAAGAGAAAAAAGGAGCCAAGGACAAAGTCTCTGAGAATTCCTCTACTTGGAAAATGAGAGATGAAATCAATGAGGTGAAAGAACTGGAAGACAAAGGCGTTTTAAGGAGAGGTTAGTCTCAGTTGGGGGAGGAGGGAGCAATGAAGGCCAGAGGATAAGAATGAGAAAAAGTTACTTTGTCTGGTGATTAAGAAGTCAGACCTCTGATGATCTTGGAGAGAACAGTCTCAGTGAAGAAGGGTCTATTTTTCCTTACTCTTGTCACCCCTAATGCATAGCACAATGCCTGGCTCAATACGTATTTATTTGTTAAATAAGTGAATGAATGGATGGATGAACTGTATTGTAGTTCCTGCCAAAAAAAACCAAGGAGGTGATGAGGAAAAGGGGGGAAAGTAAACAAATTAGCCTTCTTTTCCCCTGAAGCAAGAAGGGAATATGAGTGATAATATAGAGAAATATTCAGATGAAAAAGAAAGAAGTCGAGGGTTATGATTTCCCCCCAAAATATGAAGTAAGCTCATCTGAGACTCTATCATGGGTTCCATAATATCACAGGTTCCATTCTGTTTGATGGAGTAAACTCTCAATAGATAACAACTAACAACTGTAAACTCGACAAAATACACACACACACACACACACACACACACACACACACACACACACCCTACCTGAAAGCTGCAGAGAGTGAACAAAAGCAGGAAGATATTGGAGGGAGGTTGGAACTTGGAATAAAGGAACATCATGGGGCAAGTGTCCCATTTTTATGGCTTTAGCACTGAGGGCAGGCTGCAGTCATCAGCCACACCACTAAAACTATATTAGGAAACCCTCATTTTTTTAGCCTGAAGAACTACAGGACAGGTCCTGGAGCAACCAATCTCTAGAAAGTGAGGGGATATCTCAGGAAGAGATCCTGAGAAAAGGAGCCCTAAATTATTCGTTGCAATTCTTCTGAAGCCTTCTCCTGAACCACACGTGCATAGGGCATGCTCAAATCAGCTTCCATCCAAGACTGAAAGAATGGAGCTGAGATTTGAACTGCCACCCATCACCAACGAGGCCTAGTTTTCAGTTTTAAGCTAACCAAGTTAATTGCCCGCTGAAACAGATACATCCACACTCTTCAGAGCAATATAATAGGATCCAAAGTTTCCACAACAATGTCCAGGAAACCCTCTAAAATTATTCAGTATGTGAAGAGTCAGGAAAATGTGACCCATTCTCAAGGGGAAAGACGATGAATGGAAGCCAACCCTGAGATGATGATGATACTCAATGAGAAAAGAAAAATACCCCAGGGATGAATGAAATGATAGGAAACTTCAGCAGAGAAATAGAAACTTTAAAAAAGAACTAAATGGAAATTCTAGAGCTGAAAAACACAATATCTGAAAAATTTAAATAACAAAGAAAAGTCATGAACTCAAATATAAATAAAAAGTACCCTATCTGTGCCTCGTTGGCCAACTCATCCAGGTCAGCCTGGGACAACTGGTTGACCTGAAGCCGGGTCCCACCTATCCCAACTGTTGGACACTAAGCAATTGCATCACAGACCTTATTATCAAACAGTTTACCTATATTAGAAGGTTCTTGTATTTTAAGCTTAAATATCTGGCCAGCAAAAAAGAGGGAAGCATCATTCTGTGCTGAAAACTTAAAGCCCTGCTCCAGTACACTTAATTAACTATTAATACCAGCTCATTTTTCAAGAGAAACTGAAATATAAATTTTAGTTTATTAAAATCTTAACTTTTCACTAAAAAAAAGGTACCCTATCTGAAAAATAGGGAGAGAGGATTGAAAAAATGAACAGAGCTTCACAGACCTGTGGGACAATATTAGAGGTCTAAAATATGTGTAAATTGAGTCCCTAAGTGGGAGAAGAGAGAATAGGGTCAGAAATCATTGGAAGAAATAATGGTTGAACATTCCCAAATGTGGCGAAAGGCATACATTTACAGATTTAAGCTCAGCAAAGCCCAAACAGGATAAATATGAAGAAAACTGGAACTGTGTGTACTACAGTCAAACTGCTGAGAACAAAAGATCAAGAGAAAAATCCTGAAAACAGCAAGAACAAAACAACACATTACAAATCATGATTCCGATAGCAATGGACTTTTCCTTTGGAAACTATGCTAGAAGACAGCAGAAAAACATCTCTAAATTGCTGTGAAAATAATCACTGTTAGCCCAGAATCCTACATTCAATAAAAATATTCTTTAAGAACAAAGGCAAAATAAAGACATTT